GCCAAAACAGATGGAAAATGTTCAGAGCATGAGAGAATTTTGTCTTTCCTTTAAAGATACGGACTTATCCATCTGCTGCATTATGGGTTCATTCCTTGTGGTATTTATCTAATACTGCAATGCAACAATCCTTGATTTTGATGAAGATGGAAGAGGGAGAGTATAGAACACTAAAACTAACACCATTTTAGAAGAAACCATTAAAAAAAAAATAACCAGCTGAGACTCAGTTGAAGTTCCTGCTTGTAATATTTATAGGGAACTGACTTAAGAAAACAAGATGTGCTGTAATTGTCAGCAATTTGCCTTCTGCAAGGTCAACAGAAGGGCTGGTCAGCTAACACTGTTGATAGGAAGGTATTGGGTGTGCTGTGTTAAAGTATGTATCTGAGCCATGGCAAAAAGCTCACACTCAGTGCCACATCAGTTAATTTAGGTTCTATACATACTTAAAATATATTGCCAAAGACACTGACGTTCAAGCTACACAACTTATGGCCCTGGGCACAGATGGTCTCTCGCTTGAACGTCATGACGTCGGGAAGGAAAGCATGACAAGAGGCAGGATAGTCAGCTATTGACAGGTGCAGGAACAACATACGCCATTCTATAACGGTAATGAATCAGCACGGACTTGAGATGAGAAGAATGAGTCCACATGCTGAAGCTTATTAAACTATGTAACCTTGAACAAGTCATTCAGCCTCTCTGAATCTGTTTCCTCACCTAAAAAATGAAGACATCATCACCAGACCTGTCATTCAAACTATGAATAGAGCTTTAGATCAGTATCAGCTCCTATCATCACCATCCTAATGACTATCATCTCATCAGCAGTAGAAAAGGTATGTGTCCAGTACGAAACAAGGAAACACACACAAGAGAGGGAAATGTCAAAGATCCACTGTAATCATTAAAAGATTCTGGCATAGAAGGCACAGGAATCTAACTCTACTTTTCCCACCCAAGAAAGGAGTCTTAAAATAATTCATTTGTGAGGCTTCAATACATTTTTGAGGAAGAAGAGTGTCCCGGGTAGCTGTGTAGTAATGGCATCTCTAGCTGTTTTAAAGATTTATTTATTTATCTGACAGACAGAGATCACAAGTAGGCAGAGAGGCAGGCAGAGAGAGAGAGGAGGAGAAGCAGGCTCCCCGCTGAGCAGAGAGCCTGATGCAGGGCTTGATCTCAGGACCCTGAGATGATAACCTGAGCCAAAGGCAGAGGCTTTAACCTACTGAGCCACCCAGGTGTGGCATCTCTAGCTGTTTTAATCTAAAGTGATTCAGCCCTCCCCACAATATCTATATCTGTATCAGTATCTTTATGTGTTGATCTACCGATCGATCCATCATCTATCTAGACTGTTTCAAAGTAAGTTGTAGATATCATGACACATCTCCTCAAGTACTTCAATACATTGCTCCTAAAAACAAGGATATCATTTTGTATAACCACAATGTATAACCACAATACCATACTCAAGAAATCAACATTGATGTGTTATCGAATATATAGCTCATATTCAAATTTCTCTAACCTTGCCCCAAATATTTAATAGGGTTTTTTTTTTTTCCCCAACCAGAATCCAATCAGGATTCCTACCTTATTCTCCAATTTTATTTCCCAAAATTTGTTCCTTCCCACATTGGTGATTCACTTTAATGATTTTATTCTGTATCATGTTAAAATTTCCCTTGTCAGAAATGACATCACTTCCTTACCATCATTCCTCTTCCAAATCTCTATTAGCGTACTTTTAAAGACTTAACTCAAAGGCTAACCATTCCGTAAACATATTTCCATTCCTGCCTGGGAATGTCTATTCTCCTTTTTCTGAATTCTCGATGAACTTTGGCTGAAATTTGACTGAGTCACTTGTCACTTCCAGTCTTATGTTAGGATTAAAGATCATTGCTTTGTATATATTCTCTATTAGACTATAGGAATCTTCAAGGTAAGATCCATGTCTAGCCAAATGCCTCCAACACTTAGCAGAGAATTTTGTACATTATAGGCACTTAGATATTTTCCACCTAAAGTAAATTTTCCTTAAATAATCCTGGTCTCAATTCATACTTTGTTCATTCTATCTACTCCAAAGAGAATACCTTCTTCTATTTTCTGTGTATCCAAAGCTGATCTCCTCCACAAAAGGTTTCCTAATTATCCAGCTTAAACTTTTGGAGATGACAGATATGTTTACTACCTGGATTGTGGTGACAGCAATACAAATGTATATACATCTCTAAACCCACCAAGTTATGGACACTGATTATACGCGTATGTTTTTTGTATATCTCAATAAAGCTGGAGAAAAAGTTTTTAGAAGAAAAAAAAGTATAGAACGAAATCTGGATTCTAATCCAGTCCTACAATTTATTAGCTGTTGATGCTGGGCACATTACCTAACATTTCAGTGCTTCAATTTCCTAATATGGAAATAATAATAGCCTTTATAGGATTATACATTTTCTATAAGGATGAAATAGATTAATTCCTATAAAGTACATAGAATACTGATGCCACATTGTAAGTACTGAATAAACATTAATCATTATTCCACAATCTCTCTCATGGTTCATAATCCTTATTTGGCAATTATTATTTACCAATTGGTGACATATGTTCTATTTTTGTGATGAACTTAGGTTTAAATCAGGTATTTTTAATGGATTTCTAATAGGCATATCTTATTTTCTTAAATAAAGCATGGGATAACTTTGATTTTTGAGGATATGCTATATGCCAAGAACTTGGCTAAGTGCTTTCTATAAATATTTCACCCAAGACTCAAAATAACAGTATAAACTAGTGGTTATTTCCATACTATAGATAAAGCAAAAACAAAAACAAAGATTGAGAGAGCGTAACCAAATTGTTCAAGTTGTCTAAGCTAGTAACTATTAGAGTGAGGATAGTTCTTGAAGGCAAAGATAACATTTAATTTATATCTGTTTCCCAGAAGGCTTAATACATATTGATCAACACAATTGCTATCCATGTTCAATTTTCCTTATTGCTATGCATTTAGTTGCTATGATATTTGAGGCATATATACTTGTTACATTAGTTTGCTGTTTATTTATTTATTTATTTACTTACTTACTTATTTCTTAAAGATTTTATTTATTTATTTGACAGAGAGAGAGCACAAGTAAGCAGAGCGGCAGGCAGAGGGAGAGGGGGAAGCAGGCTCTCTGCTGAGCAGGGATGCGGGACTCGATCCCAGGACCCTGGAATCATGACTTGAGCCGAAGGCAGCTGCTTAACCAACTGAGCCACCCAGGAGTCCCGCTTTTTATTTTTAATATGCTTTAGTACTGTCACCTTATTTTTTGCTTTTAACATGCTCTTTTAAAAAATTTACCTAAGATTCCAATATAAAACTTTCCCCCACATCCATAACAAGAGCATGGTACACTTTTAGTATATTTTAATAGAACTAGAGACTTAAAAAAAAAAAAAATTCTCCATGCATTCCTCCTATCAATTTGTGTTTAGCTTTGAGCTTTGTTGTATTTTGTTGGAGTAATGCTGTTCCTACGGAAACTTACTAGTGTTGAAAGAAATTCTAGAAAACATTTGCTCCACACTTCTGATTTACTAAGGTGGGAAATGAGGCTCAAGCAGATGGGGAAAATTTCACTATTGCTTAGCCAATCAAAGGCACAGGAAGAGCCAGAACCAGAATTCTTTATTTCCATCATTGACTTACACCTATACAAATCAGTGCCATGCTTTTCATATCCTACACCATTCCATTTATGGTGTGGCTTTGGACCAGTGCCCTCAGTTCACCTGTTATTACACATTCCCAAATAGGGAGCAAGGGGAAGACATGAAAATAGTAAATGTCTGAAGAAGTGAAAACCTGTGTAATGTTTCCGCCTCTGTGCCTTTGCTTCTGCTCCCCCCACAAATGAAACCTCCTTTCCCTACATGTCCTTAAAGTGATACTACTCAAACTATGGTCCCTGGGTGGGGATCTAAGAAATGTTTGTCACCCTCCATTGAGACAGAGTACAAAAACAGAGAGGGAGTATTTAGGAAAGAATGTAACACTTTAATAGGGTAATTGATTCTTATTCAATCTCATAGTGGTAAAACGTGGCCTTCCATTTTGTATTCTCTTTATTTCACTTTCTTAGTAATTAATTTTAATTGTGCTCTATACAAATACTGGCCTCCAACACGTTGAGGAGGAAATAGTTTCCATCATAGGAAATTTGGGAGGCACTAATATAAAAGGTCCAGGTTTAGGTACCACCAGTTTCTTTACAAGGCATTCCTGACGCTCCTGATGAAAAGAGCTTTTAAATTTTATAATATCTCACATAAGCCTCTCTTATGCCTCTTACAGCTTTCTACCAAGATTAGTAATTACTCATGTGTTTTTCTTATCTCTTCTGAATAATTATAACCTCCCTGAGGACAGGTTATGTGTCCGTAGCACCATGGACATTGCATATAGTTCATCAATCCACATTATCCTCATGGACTGGATGGAATAACCGTTCATAATTATTCACAGATTTGGAGAAGGGAGAAGGTTGAAAAAAAAAATCAAAAACACAACAGGAACATCTTTTCCTAAACTCGCATAGGGAAATAATTGAGAGTGCAGAATTTAGACACTATCCACTTCCACATTTTGTATATAAATATTTAGACGAGTGAGGAACCTGAACACATACAGAAACCCTATTTCTGCCTAAGGAGAAGCTTAGAAGTTGTCAAAAATTCATTTTAAAATCAAATTTGTATCTCAAGAAACTGCACAGTAGTATCCTTGCACTTTCAGTATGAGCTAAACAGATATCCCATTTACGGCAGTCTCACAAAACTATTTCTAGAACACTCTGTCGTGTGCAGAAGCACACCAACTCCAATGCATCCATACTCGAATCCTTTACCTGTGGAACTGATAGTACTCCTAATTAATGATTAAGAAGACCAGAAGGCCTTTCCTTCAGGAGTCAGCTCTAGCCTCCACTCACCAAAGTATTCATCAGCAGGCGGATTTTCCATGTCATACAGCATCTTCTTGGTCAGGTGTTCGAGTTCATCTTCAGGACGGAATGATGGGGGAACAGCTGGAGGCCCCATGGAACCCGTTTGTCCACCCTAAAAGGCAGAGGACACATAGTTCTTTATATACCATCAAGACAATCAGATAGTATTTGCACTATAGACAAAAAAGTACTGGACGTGGCTATTAAGAGATTTGGGTTTAACAATCCGTTTCATTGGTTCTTTAGTGTCTGACCCGGGACACACCATTTTACAGGATCCACTTGCCTTCTCCAGATGAGTTATCCACTGGGCTTTGGAAATCCATGTTTACAACAGTAGGGCTTCATTTCATTCAACAGTTGCTAAGTAGTCACTGCATACCAGTCGTATATTTATAAAAACAATATACACAGAGGCCCCCCTCCCACTTACGGAGTTTATGGTCAAGGGAGAGATTCATGTTCATCAATAATTAAAGATAAAGCAACTACAGAACGTGCATAACTAGGGTACATAAAGGGACCTCTCCTGTAGCCTGAAAGGAAGAATTCCAGAGGAGAGGCCAGTACAGAGTAGGACATACTCAGCTAATGGGCAAGAAACTTACAGGTAGAAGTTTTTCACATTCAGGTGAGAAAAAGGCCAGGTGGCATAGGAGCTCCTCACAGCTGAATATTTCCGCACCACATATAAAGCTTGAGAGAGGAGATGAGATGGGTCTAATGGGGAACAGGGGTGCAGAAAGTGAATGACCCTGTGTTCCATTTAAGGAGGTTGAGAAGTTTCTCCCCTTAGTACTACAAACAGCCACGTACCAAATGGGGAGGGTACATCAGTAGCACTGATCCTGGGTTGGTGTTTAAAGAGGTGGATGACCAAGAATTAGAGCCACGTCATGATATCAAGTGTCAGGGGAAAGATTACTTGAGATGTTCAACCAACAATCCAAAGTAGGTAGAGAAAGAAGGAAGGCCAGATGACAGACGTAAGATTTTGCAGTATGTAAACAAGTGGAAATTTAAAATTCTATTTCCCGGGCGCCTGGGTGGCTCAGTGGGTTAAAGCCTCTGCCTTCAGCTCAGGTCATGATCTCAGGGTCCTGGGATCGAGCCCCGCATCGGGCTCTATGCTCAGCAGGGAGCCTGCTTCTCTATCTCTCTCTTTCTGCCTGCCTCTCTGCCTACTTGTGATCTCTGTCTGTCAAATAAATAAATAAATAACATCTTTAAAAAAAAGAAAATAAAATTCTATTTCCCTTTGCCTATATTATAACTTTGGCCATATCCAATATCACACCCCAGCATCTTTAATCAAAGCGTTTGTAACAAAAACTTAATGAAAAGTTAAGAAATAGTGACATCCCAATAGCTGATGGGGAGAGCTGAGACTCTGAGAATGTTCTTCCCTTGATGTTTATGCATTCTTAAGAGTCTCTCCTTTCATTAAGAGTTTACAAGAATCAGTTCAACAGAACCTGAAGCTGCGCATTCATTCACCTGTTATCCTCACTATAGCAAATGTGTTCTTGGATGTGAAAATCCTGTAAGGTATAAATCCCTGTACAAATGCTTCTTCCTTACTATGAACACTTATTTCAACCAGTCCAAAATACATATTAATTATTTGTGTGATGTCTGAGGCATAAAATGCCTTCTAAACATATGTGAAGTTGTTAATTGGCACTTACTTGGGACTCTTCTCTGGTTATTTTCCAATTTTTTAGGTTTTTTAAAAAAATGGATAGAAAGTTGGAATACAGACATACAGACAGCCAAAAAGGCTAAGAATTTTTTATGTTGGTTACTCATCTAACCCTGGGATTTTATTTCATTGTTGGACAATTTGGATTGGAGAATGGACAGCAGTGAGCAAACTATGAATGTGGCCAGTGACAAAGACTAAAAGTAGAGCTGCATGCCAGAATCTCTTATTCATTGTGAGATAAGGAAATCTGACACCCAAAAAGATCAGGGCAAGGCTAGTTATGATAAACCCAGCATAGGGGCCCATCCCAGACTCACTTATTTAGTAAACATTAAATGTTACATGGAAGGCCTTCTCTAAAGTACAAATAACATTTGAACATTGGACGAGTGGTTTGCTAGTAATATTAAACTTTCAATGGCACAGATGTTATCTGCTTCTAGGAAAATTTTGCTGAAATCATAAAATTATATGACCAAGGCCAGTCACAGGAACTTTATTTGGAAAAAAAAAAAGGAATCGAAAGTAACAGTGTAACTATCTATCCATGGGTAAGAGGTCACTTAAATGGACAATGATAGATACATACAACGGAATGTAAACAGGTTTTAAGAGAACACTGTAAGTTTACCACTACAAGTACGAAAAAGATGGCATAGCCATGCTATCAAAGGAACATATCCAGTGATAGGATAGGAAATCTAAATGATGGCCCCATTTTTGAAAAATAAGTAGAGTTTAATTATCTATCATTCAATATACAGGTAGGGAAGAAAGTCTGAAAGGACATGTACTCCTATGTTAAAGGGAGGCTTTGTTGGGTTTGGAATCCTGAGAGCCTTTTAATTTCTAAGTTTGTGTTTCTTTTACAGTATTTAATTTGACTTCTGCAATCCATGAAATATAACTTTTCAAATGCAATTAATTCAAGTGACAAAGGTAGTCTGGATACTAGCAAAGCCCTGGAATGGGCTAACCCAGGTCAAGGTGGAGCTCTAAGAGGAGCAAAAGGCCAAAGGTGGGACACAGTTGGGTGGAAGTGGGGAAAAATGCAAGTGGTTCTGTTTAAGGCTGAAGAGGTGAGAGAAAGGAAGGGCCAGCTCGTGACTGCCATGCCATTGGGGGCTTAGGTCTTCTCTATGGGCCAGGGGCCCTAGGCCCTGTGTGAGACCACAGGAAACTCTGAAAATCTGATGTGCTCAACTCCCTTTTGGCAGAGACTGGCATTCATAAAAATGCACATCAAATTTACCTACATTTTCAGAAAGCTCATGGGCTACAGGGACATATCTCAAGACCCTCAGGGAAGAACGCCCAGGCAACAGAAATCTCAAGGGGGATTTTCAGCAGGGAGGTGAGCTCAACAGATTAGAAAGTTGTCTTTGGAGTGGAAGGAGGACAGGAGCACCATGAGACTGGAACCAGGTGGGAAGCTTATCCTAAAACATTTGTGGCCAGAGAGTGAAGGGGCATACTGTGTGGCAGTGGCAAGAGAGCTGGAGACAGAGGTTTAACTCTGGCAATGGCTTGGAGTCCTTGTGGGAGCTAGTGAACTCTGCCACTTCTGGTTTCCTTCTATAAAATGGGCTTGTCCATGCTACCTCAGTCGTTGTAAGGATTAAAATCGGAGAGTTTATGGGGTGCCTGAGTGGCTCAGTGGGTTATGCGCCTGACTCTCAAGTCAGATCACGATCTCAGGGTCTTGAGATCAAGCCCCGTGTGGGGCTCCATGCTCTGTGGGAAGTCTGCGTTGCGACTCTCTCTCCCTCCCTCTGACCCTACCCCCCTCCATGTGAGGCTCTCATTCTCTCTCTAAAATAAGTAAATAAATCTTAAAAAAAAAAAAAAGAGAGAGAGAGAATCAGAGAGCTTACATCTCATGCTATAGAGAGCTATAACTACTTTCTCAAACTAAGGTAACAAAGGGACTCTCTTTGGATCCCCACCCCACTGCTGAGGGAGGAGATAATCCCAGTTCAGATGACAGAACTGAAGACAAGGGTGGAAAAATGACCTACATCTTGTTTTCTAGACTTGCAATAAGGAGAGAACTTGAGCCCCAAATACGTGGCCATCTGACTCTAAATGCCATGCATATTTTCCAACCAAACATTGTTTCCCATGGAGAAAGTGGAGACTTGTATGAAAGATTACCTGTCATAGTAATGGCACTGACTGTTTTAATTTAAATCAACAACTATTAAGGAAACGCTGATCCTTCCTGCTCCCAGTGTTAGGGCAGACCCTCAGGGAATGGACATGGCTTCTCATGGTCTGGGCTTCCAGTATCTGCTTCCCTCTTAAATCAACAAAGGCAGCAAGAAGGCCAGGTCTGTCCTCTGCCAGAAATTTGGATTCTACCCTTAGCATTTAACGTTACAAGCACAGGTCCTTCTTTCAAAGTACTTACACTGTCAGGACTTCACAGATTTTAAGACAAATATATCCTTCCTTTTATTCTCCAAATACGTCCTATTTGCTTGCAATACAGCTTCTGGAATAACCCATTTGGAAAAGTGCATTCTTTTTCTTTTACATTCCAATCCCATATAAATGCTAACCTTGGATTCCTGGTTTTTCTTATATAGAAGGACCCCAGGAGAACATCTCTTTCAGAGTTTGTGAACGCTATTTGGCACAGAACTCTCCCCACCCCGCCCCCCAGCCTCTGCCCCCAAACAGTGCACAAAACTGAACATCCATGGAAAACATATTGGTAAAAACACAGGGTCCCCAATGTCCACATATCTCCTCTCCCATGAAGGAAGACGCAGCCCACGCCTTTTCTCTGAAGTTCAAGTCCTTTAAGAACTTCGGGGCTTTTCTCCCTGGGGTGAAGAGACCCCTCTTCGTTTCTCTTTCTCAGTAGTGCTCGGGGCTTTACACGTCCTAAGAAAAGGGAGCAACCGTCCAATGTATCTTTTAAACAAGTGGCTTCCAGCATTGTGTCTGGGTAATAGAACATGGTTGAAAATTTGTGGGGTGGGGGCCGGGAAGGGATGTGCTGCATTATTTTGTTTGTTCACTCTTCAAACGCAGAGATGTGCACAGGACCAGCAGGGTAGCTCCCGTGGCATCATCATAATTCCTTGCATTTCCGTGTTGCTTTGCAGGGTGACAGTTTTCATAGCAACAGCCCCATGTAGTAAGTAATCCTACTTTAGGGTGATTAAGGTGAGGCCCAGAGAGGCAAAGTGAGCAATCCGGCATCTAGGACAAGTTCTGAAAATCAGTGGAGTCCTGACAGCCACCGGCTGTGCCGAGTTGGCATGTCCCTGTGACACTGTGTGCTGGCTCTCAGTGCCCGGGGCTATGCACGCCCTTCTACACCATTCTTCTGTAATGACTTGGATTTTTTTCAGAGTAGAGGTTTACTGCTAAACAGTGAAACAAAAGTCCTGCAAAGC